CACATATGGTATGTGGACGTTACTTGACTGTACAGTGGTAGAACAAAATAATATATATGAACAGGCGGTAAGCCAACATCCAGTGGGCCTCAAGTAGATGCTGATGGGATCATGCTTTTGTTATAACAGACTGTGAGTCAGGATCTAGCTGGCCTTTCCTGCTTGTTGCTGACAAGACCATGCCTTGGGTTCTAAACAGTTGGTGAGTCAGGATCTGACTGGCCCTTCCTGCTTGTTGCTGACAAGAGCATGCTCTGGGTGTTGAACAGAATGTAAGTCAGGATCTGGCTGGCCCTTCCTGCTTGTTGCTGACAAGAGCATGCTCTGGGTGTTGAACAGACTGTAAGTCAGGATCTAGCTGGCCCTTCCTGCTTGTTGCTGACAAGAGCATGCTCTGGGTTTTGAACAGGATGTAAGTCAGGATCTGGCTGGCCCTTCCTGCTTGTTGCTGACAAGAGCATGCTCTGGGTTTTGAACAGGATGTAAGTCAGGATCTGACTGGCCCTTCCTGCTTGTTGCTGACAAGAGCATGCTCTGGGTTTTGAACAGGATGTAAGTCAGGATCTGGCTGGCCCTTCCTGCTTGTTGCTGACAAGAGCATGCTCTGGGTGTTGAACAGCTTGTAAGTCAGGATCTGACTGGCCCTTCCTGCTTGTTGCTGACAAGAGCATGCTCTGGGTTTTGAACAGGATGTAAGTCAGGATCTGGCTGGCCCTTCCTGCTTGTTGCTGACAAGAGCATGCTCTGGGTTTTGAACAGGATGTAAGTCAGGATCTGGCTGGCCCTTCCTGCTTGTTGCTGACAAGAGCATGCTCTGGGTTTTGAACAGGATGTAAGTCGAGGATCTGGCTGGCCCTTCCTGCTTGTTGCTGACAAGAGGATGCTCTGGGTTTTGAACAGGATGTAAGTCAGAGGATCTGGCTGGCCCTTCCTGCTTGTTGCTGACAAGAGCATGCTCTGGGTTTTGAACAGGATGTAAGTCAGAGGATCTGGCTGGCCCTTCCTGCTTGTTGCTGACAAGAGCATGCTCTGGGTTTTGAACAGGATGTAAGTCAGAGGATCTGGCTGGCCCTTCCTGCTTGTTGCTGACAAGAGCATGCTCTGGGTTTTGAACAGGATGTAAGTCAGAGGATCTGGCTGGCCCTTCCTGCTTGTTGCTGACAAGAGCATGCTCTGGGTTTTGAACAGGATGTAAGTCAGAGGATCTGGCTGGCCCTTCCTGCTTGTTGCTGACAAGAGCATGCTCTGGGTTTTGAACAGGATGTAAGTCAGAGGATCTGGCTGGCCCTTCCTGCTTGTTGCTGACAAGAGCATGCTCTGGGTTTTGAACAGACTGTAAGTCAGGATCTGGCTGGCCCTTCCTGCTTGTTGCTGACAAGAGCATGCTCTGGGTTTTGAACAGACTGTAAGTCAGGATCTGGCTGGCCCTTCCTGCTTGTTGCTGACAAGAGCATGCTCTGGGTTTTGAACAGACTGTAAGTCAGAGGATCTGGCTGGCTCTTCCTGCTTGTTGCTGACAAGAGCATGCTCTGGGTTTTGAACAGGATGTAAGTCAGGATCTGGCTGGCCCTTCCTGCTTGTTGCTGACAAGAGGATGCTCTGGGTTTTGAACAGGATGTAAGTCAGGATCTGGCTGGCTCTTCCTGCTGTGCTGA